AAAAAAAATGTGATAAAGTATCTGAATAGAAGAAAAGTTAAGAAATTAGTATTAGAAAGAAAAAGAACAAGAAAAAAACAATAGAACAACAAGATAGACTATTATACTAAGTATTACTAAGATCAAGAAACAAGAACTTTAAAAAAATAAAAGATATAAAAAAAAAAAAAACAGAAAATAAAAAAATAGAAGATTTATAAAGAAATACAATCAGAAAATTAATTAGTAATAACAAGAAACCTTACTAGAATAATCTTAAAAACTAGTCTGAATAGTCCTTTAGTAATGAGTATAAATTTACTCTAATGTGACAGTCATTTTTGAATGCTTGTACAGTAACAGGAGAGAACATTAATATTACATGATTGATTTTACACACGGGGTGAAACACGTAAAAAAATTTTTTTACAATACTTGAACAATCTTGATCAATCAGCTAGTGGATGTTATGATTATAATTCAACACTATTTTTATTATAATAAAAATGATGTTGGATTATAATCATAACATCCACTAGCTGATTGATCAAGATTGTTCAAGTATTGTAAAAAAATTTTTTTATGTGTTTCACCCCGTGTGTAAAATCAATCGTGTAACATCAACGTTCCCTCCTGTTTTGTACAGTAGCCAGACCTATAAATTAAACTAACATTTGTATAGTTATATATGCAATTCTTTTAATAAAGGATTTTGGCAAAGCTGCCAAAGAGTTAAAAAAAAATAATAATAAAATTTTTGAGATATTAGTTTGGGCTTGAATTTGAGATTTGAATAAAATAAACCCAAACTATAGTAGTTTAAAATTTAGTTAGCAAGCATATATATGTAGTTAAATTGACAGAATTAAAATAAACAATTTTTATTAATTTGGAATAAATGGTTGTCAAAATTATGACAGTCTTTAAAAACCTTGAGCAAAAATATTTTGAAAACCATTCATGAAAATTTTGATTTTGATTCTATATGACTATAATTAAAATGCAAATTTTCATCAAGTTTAAATAGTTGTCGAAATATCCACTCTCAAGGTTTGTATTTAAATTGATAATTTTATTCAATCAGAATGTGACGGTTTGAGTTGAATCTCATTTTAGCAACAAATTGTCGTCATGACTAAGCTCCTACCGTATGTACCCCTTGTATGTTATACCTTGCGACGGTTTTAAAGGCAAATTTTGATTTATACCCAGGTAAGTATATAATAATAAAATAATTAAAAAACATAAAGTATTCGTGTAATATGCCCCATACACGAGCACTCCGGAGCCAGGAGAATACTCCAGGTAACTTTTTAGTATCCCTAATTATGTTTGTTATATATACCAATATTGAACACCAAAATAAAGCAAAAAAAAAAAAACGCCTACGTACTAAAGTTTCCTGTTGCAAAGTCTCAACTTGAATCTATAAAAAAAAGTCGCACTTCATATTTGCAGCAAGCTGATTATGAAATTTCTAGAAGGGTATTATTATAATAATAACTTGATTGAACATAGACTACATTTATGTAAGACATTAAGAGAATTTAATGAAAATATTCGTGATTTAATTAAATTTATCTAAAATCATTGTGGCAGCTTATGCTGAGATTTGTTCTATTTTATTATGAAATTGTCCTTTTTGTGGCCTTTTTTTTAATATTTAAGTTATGGTTTAGAGTTAGTCATTGTTTTTTTTTCAGGTGCCGCACAAAAAATGCACGGCAGGTCCACAAATTTGTCAATATTCGGACTTTATTTTGGCTATAAAACTAAAAATGCCAAAAAAGTAGCAATGACAAATAATAAACTATTTGCCCAAAACACGATTTCGTCAAGTCCTCTCATTACAGACCAGCTATACAAAGAGTTCAAAAATAAAGGACTTAATATACTTCCCACACTTTCGATAACACTCAAAGCACCTAATATTTGTCCTGCTTGTGTAGGCAAGACAAACGTAGTAAATAAAGTTCTGATTGCTGGCGTTGCTATTGTGGATAAACTGTTTACCACACAAGCAAAATAAAACATATTTGGGTCTATTGCAATGGCATATAACGCGAATCCGGCCACTTCCATGATTAACCCCGATCTCAACATCGTAAGATCTAGAGTTCGTGAATATGTAGTTAGATATTTTCCTTGCAACATACGAAACAAAGGTAAGAGGACTATTAGAGCCATAAATCGGGTTAATGCTTGAAGTGTAAAAAAAACCCCGTTTTCTAATGTTGACCAGCCAAACTTTTGTGTTGTATATAATGCGATTAGATCATTTTGGCCTATTTAAACAATAAAAGTTAATTAATAATACATATTTAAATTTATTTAAAAACAAATCAAATCATTACCAGCTTGTGACATTTTATATATAAAATAAATTATTGAAAGAATATACAGCACATTCCTCTTCCATATATTATTTATAATGTTTCCAGAATATACAGGTGTTTGATTAAGAATCATCAAAGCTGAAAATATATATTTTGGCGATGGTAAAGAAGTTGACGATTCGTTTTGACGACGTATTTCTGGCGAAAGTGATTCTGGAAGTATAAATGATACAAAAATAAAAAATACAGAGAGTGCACCAACAACCACATAGAACACTAAAAGTGCAGATCCCGTAGCCTAAATAATAACAATAAGTATGAAGACTATGAAGACAATGATATAAAGTTCCTTTGACCAATATCTTGAAATGTACCTCAACAATAACACCTCCCAACACTGGACCAAGCGCCATTCCACAATATGCTGAGGCATGCATAAGTCCAAATGCAACACTCCTATTTTCAGGTTTAGTGCAATCACTTATATAGGCATGACATGCCGTGTTTATAGCAATCACACCTCCAAGTAATCCTTCGATAATTGCTCCAATAAATAAAAGGTTGCTGCCAACAATTTTCCAGTAATGAGATGTAATAATTACAAAAGAACATCCGAATATTATACCAAGTGTTGATAACCTATACACAAATCTACGACCCTTAAAATCTGAAAGTGTTGAAATGTAACCTATTGATAATGTTGCTATAATGAATAAATGTCGGAAAAAAATAAATCGATGATTAGATATCAGGTCGTGATGTAATATGAAATGAAAATTAATTTGAGAAAGAGACGTGGGCTCTTTTATAACCTGAAACATATAAACACATCTGATACAACATCAAACGATTTGAAGCCAAAACGGAAATTTGTGGAATTTTACAGTCTTTATCTATCAAGTTGGAAAAAACATCCGTGCTATTCATGTAATTGTCATTTAATTCATAATATTCTAGACATACAACGTTCAAGACAATTTGCACTGACAAATGAAATAGCACGCATAAATTATATTTAATGAGAAAGTTCCTCAACAATTTACTAAAATAATGAGATAACTGCTGTAACATTCGAACCTAAAGGTGCTATAATAGAAGTCATAATGGTTGATAAGGTGATACTAAAGACAATCATCCATAGAACATGAGGTTTTCGAAGATTTTGTATGCATGACGATGTTTCTTGATTAGTAGGATCAATTGACTCTTCAAGAAGCAATGGACTATTTTCTGTTGCTTCTTGAGAATCATCGGGTTTTCTCGAATGTGACATCGGTTAAATGGTAATTTCATATACAAAATGTATTGAAAAAGTGAAGGATAAATTGAACTTTTTATCGAGCTAAATTAGGGGTTTCGCAATAAGAATTATCGTTATGTAAGCTGCCAAAATATTTTTATTTATAGAAAACGGTAATAACTCTTATTGGTTAATCACTTATTTGTACTGGTAATACAACTTTTAAAAAGTTTAATAAAAATTTTTCATTTAATTTTACAATTTTGTATAATTATATAAACTCTTTTCGACGATCACCAAAATAAACAAAAAAGAAAATTTTAAAAAATAGATTAACAGAACCTAAATAAGTTGAATAATATATAAGAAACCATTTTATATTCAGTATTACCTCTTTACCCCATACTAACGTTGTATAAAACTACAAAAATTCCAAAATAAAATCACATGACATCAAATGACTAGGGTCAAATGAATTAGCCAAATTAGACAGTATCAAATGAGAATTTTTTTAAAATTCTTTACAGTTTTTCATTTCATAACTCGGCTTCAAGAGAGCCCTAATTTCCCCAACCACTTCTGATTGGACGCAATAAGTAGTCTCCGATTGAGCAAAACAATTACACTGCCATTGAATAAAGAAATAATAAGCGAATAATTGCAGCCAAATTTTTAATCGTTAAATTATTTTAAATTTTAAAACTTTCGTCAAGGTACTTTCGCGAAAACATTTAACTCAAACTTTCTGCCAAATCATTTTCGTGAGAATATTCACCAAATTACTTTGGTGAAAACAATTTATTAAACTTGTAAATTTTTTTTACACAACAAAAGTTTTAAAATAAACCAATAACGATTCAATTATGAACTTAAATTTTTTAAAAATATATATTATTAATTTATTGAGGATATAACTTATCTAAAATGTTTTTATCTTATAGAATTGTTTGTTCAGTATAAAAGATAGGAAAGTTGAAGATTTAGCAACATTTTTTTTTACTTTTATAAATTTTATTTAAATGTATGCAGTAGGAAAAGTGTTAACAGTAGGATGGCAACCTTAGTGTAGTGGTTGGGTTGTTATCCTCCAAGTGGCAGGTCTAAGATTCAAATCCTACTTATGATGAAATTTGAAAATTAAGCTGTGTTATGAAAAACTGTTTCTTTTTGGTTGGTTGGATTTAGATATCTGTAATTTTGGGTACAACCAATCAGGTTTTACTTGTCATGAGAGCCTGGAGCATTTATATGAAGTGTAACATTACACATACATAAAGGAATATTAATAACTGGTGTCACATAAGACTTCAGTGTAAATCCATTATAAGATCATCAGATGTAGAAGATCAAGAAATTAAGAAGACAGAAACCTACTTGAAAATTCCTAAATAAAAAGATAACACAAACTTTTGATAATGTTATTAGAATAATAGAAGTCTAGAAAATTCCAATAAGAAATAGGTAAATGTAACTAAATAGAAATATATATAAAGAACATATAACCAATCAAGTTGCTAGAATCATCAAAAAAAAAGGATACTAAAATATATCACATCAGATTATCTAAATTGGAAGTTTAAAAAGTCTATTGGATTCTGAACTGAATAGTAAAATAATGAAGAGAAGAAATCAGAAAAATAGATATCAGGATTTGGATAAATTTTATAAAAATAGAAATAATGTAATATAGTAATTAAACAGGTAACCTTTGTAATTACAAATATTAAATAACTATAACATGTTACATAAAACTAGGTCAGTTGTATGTAAGACACAAAAGGCTCTAGTAACAATGCTTCTAAGAATACACTAAATGAAATAAGATATAGAGTTCTAAGGGTATAAGTAAAAATATCTAAACCTTCTTGACTGATGTCTGTATTAAAGATGATCTAGCAATACAGTAGAAATTGCAATACAGAAGGTTTAAATAGACAATGCTTCTAGTTGAGTTGCAGGTATGACAGCTAGTATAGAATCATTGATGGACTACTTAAATTAGATATCAAAAGTGTACATATGATTAGTTGCACTCTCTAATATAAAGTGATTCTTTTGAGACTTTAGTCATAAGTTTCTATGTTCTAATTTATTGAATAAAGCCCTAGTCTCAAAAGAGACTAGTTTAATCTTAAAAAAAAAAAAATATTAACAATTAACAAATCTTAAATATATGTTTACAAAAAAAAAGAGAAAAATTAATACTTATTTTGTTTATAATTTTTGTATTTGGTGCAACTTTTGACTTATTATTTTTATTATTATTAGTAACTTAAGAAATGAATTCTATTTGTACAATTCTTATATATTTTATTTAGATAACTTGCTAAAGAGCCATTCACAAATTATAAATATCTTTTTCTTTCATATTATAGGTCAAATAAATGAATAAAGAGTGAATAATAAGTAAATAACAGAAAACAAATTTACTATTATTCTATCTTATATTTGCCAAATAATAGCAGTATAACAGCAATATAAAAACAAAATAACTGTAAAATAACAAAAGATTTGTTAATGTAAATAACATAATAGTAACATAATAGCAAAATAATAGAACAGTTCAATTATTTTATTTTTAGTTACAAAGATTAAAAATAAAATAATAGAACTGTTCTATTATTTTGTTATTATATTACTATTATGTTACTTATATTAACAAACCTTTTGTTATTTTACTGTTATTCTGTTATTATGCTGCTATTATTTGGTAGATATAAGGTAGAATAATAGTAAATTTTTTTTCTGTTATTTATCTATTATTCACTCTTTATTTATTTATTTAACCTTTGTATTGTTCTATTTTATAAAAATTGTATTAAGTTCTTCTTACAATTTTGCAAATTGAAAGTTTTTATTAGTTTTGACAGTAGTAGCTAATTATTTCTTATATCTTTTATATTTAGTTTTATATTAATATAGCAAACACATGTTTGCATAGTAATTGTTATAATTGAAAATTATAACAATTACAAATATAAAGGACAGTATCAAGACTATTTTTTTATTTATAAAATCTTTTTCTAATTAAATACTCTATATCATTATTGATTAAGGAACATATTATCCAAAAATCAAGCTAGATATTATAAATATCATTGTTATTAATATATATAGATTTTGTAATTTCTTTAATGCATTGTTAACACTATTATTAATTCATTTTACTAATTTTTAATTCATTCTAAAAAACACTAAAATTTATATCATGAAGCACAACTTCTACAAAAAGATATATTTTATTATCAAACTGTTAATCTATAAAAATAGAATTAAAATTGTTTAAAAAATTTTTAACAAAACTTAACTTTGTTAAAAAATACTAAATAATGTTAAAATAAAAAAAATAAAAAAATACAATTAAACTTAAATATATACTATAATAAAAAATAATAATAATAATAAAATAAATAAAATAAATAAATAAATAAAATTAGAATAAAATAAACATACAATATATAAATAATAATATATAATTAATTAAATATTTTGACTAAGTTAATAACTAAATAATTTTAAAATTTAAATTATACCTAATTGCTTTTTCATATAAGTATACTTTAACTTATAATAAATGATTCAATGATTTAATTAAATTATTTGTATTCATCATATCTTTAACAATGCCTTTTATACAGACTATCCATATCTTATACTTTAGTTTTTACTATATTTGAAGTAATTTGCAAAATTATTTGTTATCTTATTATTTATTTTTCTTTACTAATTAATTGCTCTTACTATTTGTACTTGAGCTTCTGTGTCAAATCACTTTTTTGTCTTTAATAATTATCAAAGATCATTTTAAACAACTTCTTTTTGTAAATTATTGTTTGCATCATATTTATAATACAGTTTTTTATATTAAGACTATAGTATATAAAAATGATACAAAAATACAGAACTATTAGAACAATTTTCTTGAGTTGCTTTTATTTTTTTTCTAGCATCATTGACTATAAAAATATCTGATATTCATTTTTTATTTTTATGCTTTAAAACATTATATCACATCTTTAATGTCAATATTTATTTAAACTTACTTATCAAGAATATAACTAGATATTTGCTTTCTACTACTAGATTATATAAGTTAGATGCTAAAAAAAAAGACAAAATTAATACTTTTTTCAAAACCTGTTTTTTTATATAAATTAATTTAAAATAAGACTAAGACTATTTTTTACTTAAGACTTAAAAGTAGTTGTGTTAATAAAATTTTGTAATATAATTTCTTAAATTTTGTATTTTTCTATAATTTATTATAAAATTTACAATTTAAAAATTAATTTTCTAAAGATCTTTTTTTTGTTAATTTTGTTCCTTTTCTCACCACCTAGCCTATATAACAAGTGCAAATAAATGATATCTATAATAATTTGTTTTGTATATTCTGTTTAAGTACACTACTATCATAGATTCAATTAATTATTTTTGCTCTTTGATTTGAAATATAAACATAAATCCAACATCATTTATCTTATTATGTTTTTTAAATATACAAACTCTATTCTTGCTAATTATTTTATTTTATCATATTTCTAAAAACCAAAACTCATTTTTATTAAAATATACAGACATTTTATTGTATTATAAATAATTATATATATATTATTATGTATTATTAGCCTATTTCTTAATATCTACATATTTTGTGAATACAAATTATCTTTAGAATTAAGCAAAAAAATCTAAAATATTGAAATAAAAAAATAATAATAATTTAAATAAAGTTAATAAAATAAAAAAATTATAGATTAAAAACAAATAAATTAAATAAATAGAATAAATTTAAATAAATTTAAATAAATTATAAGATTAGATTCTTACTCTTATAAATTCATAAATCTGTAAATTCTATATAATATATGTATTTATTCTGCATATAATTATTATTTGTATTTGTTAATATTTAGTTTATTATATTATTATAAATAATTGCTATATAACTAATAATTATTATATATAGAACTAATGCATATATAGATATACAGTTTCACAAAACTTATAAACAAAAAAAATTTGTAAAATCA